GCACCGCGCGGAGTGGAAACCCCGCCAGAAACCCCGGGAGTCCAGGGCCGAACCCAGGGAAGCGGACGTCACGGGCACGGATTAAGCCGGGGAAGCTACAACCGGGCGATGACGATGGCTGAATACACGGGCAATCCGATTTTTAAAAAAAAAACAAAAAAAACCCCAAAAAACTCACGGCTGGCTTTGGCCAAGCCACGGTGAGCGCGCTTAAAAAGCAACCCGGAAAAGCTTGAGGCAAAGCAGAAAAAGTAACCGGTGGATGGACTTAACGACCTCCCAAAATCCTTTCCACTCCTGTTTTCTAAGCTCCTTTAATGCAAAAAATCAGTGCAACACACAGGGACCAGTAACGTGCACTAAGTACTTTTTTCCGCGGGGGGGGCGCCCGGGTCGGGGAGCCGCAGCTGCCAGCATGCACGCTGTAAAGGCAGCGGGACGAGCCAACTGCGGTTTGGGATGCCTAGACCCTTACGGCAGGAAGAAATAATACTCTCATTTGAACGAGCTAAGGCTGTGGATTTGGGGGGGGGGGGATCTGAAAGGGGATCCAGATGGCTGCAAAAGCAGCCCGAGGCCGGGAAGGGAAGAATTCCTCTTTACGCTGCTGCTTTCTGCTCCGTCGCAGGTGCCGACCCCGAATTTCGGACCTCAGGGATGCCCGAGGCAGAGCCTTTTCCTCGCCACAGTTTGCAATCGCGGGAATAAAGAGAGAGAACAGGTAGCGCAAAGCGGGAGACTGCAAAGCTGGTGGCTGGATATCAAAAATCCTGTTTGCTTTAGGAAGAGGCATTGCGAAAAAGCACGCGCTGTTTCTGTGAGCTTTGTGTTTTCGGATGCTGACAGTATTAAAAAGCCATCAGGAAAACCCAAACAAACCCAAACCCGAACCCCAGCCTGATGGGAATTTACACCACAGCCACGTCACTGTCACTGGATATCTTCCCTAATACTGACATAAAAATGAGCTAAGCGCTTGGCCTGCCCTTCCTCTGGGTTTCACAAAAGTACCACTTTTCTGGAGACGCTTTTTTTCCCCAATCATTCGTTCTGCGCAGCTGACGGAGGCCGGGGAGGTTTTGCAACGCTTTTGAGCCCGGCTCGGCCGCGCTCACGCTATGCCCGTTTGCAACAGCCCTACAGATTTAGCAGGAAACAGAAAAATGCACCCTTCAGCTCCTGGATTTGCTTGGCCAAGCTGGCTGCCTGACGGGGAAAAAAATAAAAATAAAAAGCCGTAATACGCGCGTGCCACCCTTGGAGATGCAGAGCAAAAGTCACAGCCAGGATGGCCACCTCTGTAAAACCCGAAACGTCTCCCACGTATCTCGAGAAGCTGGGGAAACGGGCACGGGCAACGCTTCGGGCTGGGCAGAGCAGACCGCGACTTACTGCTGCTGGGTCTCAACGTGAAAGGTGATGCTAAGTGATGCAGGCTAAGTCCTCCAAGGCTTTTGAGCCACAGAGGAGAAAGGAGGCTTGATCTCAAAGATTGAGGACGCTAAATCTGATAAATTATCTGTGTTTTCCTGACTCGCATGAGAAGCTGACAAGCCAACGCTTTCTTTCCACTCTCTCTCTCTCTCCTTCTCAAAGAGGTAAGTGTTTTGGCTCATGGAAAGATGTGAATCAGCTCTGTTACTGGTAATAAAAAACAAAAAAACCCACACTACTTCTGGTATAGCAGGGATCAGGTCAGGCAAGCTGTTTGGGCTTTCAGCTGGCTTAAAAAAAAAAAAGATGTTTGCCACAGTTAGAAAACCCTCCTGATGTCACGGCCTGACCTTAGCTGGACAGAGAAAAGTCAAGGGACCTTCAAATTAAGGGGCAGCGATTGGCACGGGCCTCTCTCTTACAGAGAGGTGGAGATGGGCACACGTGAACTGTGAGCGTTGCCTGTCCAAACTCCCCGTGTGAGTCCCAGCCACTTTGCTCCCTCGCTTGTGGTTCTCATAAATCTAACCCTAAATAAGTAAAAGCACAAATTAAGCCTGTCTAATTAAGATGCAGGACTTGCAATAACAACGACAACTCCTTTCTGGAAGGTTACCTAAAATTTGGCTTTCTTCTTTGCAGCGGACTGCGCAAGGCCTGATGAATACCCTGCGACGGCTTCAAGGCTACTGGGGCTTCCTAGAGCTGCGCAGCTAAAAGCACAGACGGGAGTTTGAGGCGCGCAACAGTCCGCCGTCAGATCTTTATGAATTCCTGCACGCTGAATCGTCTACTAGAAGGCAAAATATATTACTGGCACCAGCGACTCAGCTTAGCAACCAGCCTGCAGGCTGCATCAAGTATCTCTTTAAAGGTCAAGAGAGCACATGATGCCTAGGAGTGCTTACATAAGCTTTTACTACAAGTTCGAGATACTTCAAGCGAGCCCGTTTATCAAATCACAGCCCTAAACGGGCCAGCTGGCCTTTGCCTATCTGCTGAGAGGAAGAGGAGAAACCAAGGCTCTTCCTCCCCGCCATCCCGCTCTCGCTCTTTCCATCCGCTTTCCACCCTTCCCCGTCTTTAGGAAACGCTTGCGGTGGATTTGCTGGCAACACCCGAGCGGAGATGAAACGTCAGAAAGGTGCCGCCGGCCCGAGGAGCTCCCTGCGATGCGGGTTTTTGTTAAGGCGGACGAGCCGCGTTATTGAAATTCTGCGGCAGAGGCCGGTTTTCCTCCGCTCCCCGGGGGCTGCCGTGTTAAATCACGTTTGAATTCGCTGAACAAGGCTGCTGAAATACCACCGTGGCAGCTACTGGCACATTTCAATGAAAGTACCATGGCCTCATTAGTATAGTGGAAATTATGAGCTTGTTTTTGTATGTATTTAAAAGCTTGCCTCCGAAAGCGCGCTGGGCTGCGGCCAGAAATTCCTGGCTTGTAGCTCCTGCGATCTGACAGTCAGCGTCGCCTCGCTTAGCCGGGTCAAGCAAACGCCGGGCAGCCCACGAAGAAATCAAACTGGAGGAAGGCGGGGGGGAAAAAAAAAAGAAGTTACTTTTTTTAAATCTGTCGGGGGTGCAAAAGGGTGCAAAAGGGTGCAAAAGGGTGCAAAAGGGTGCAAAAGGGTGCAAAAGGGTGCAAAAGGGTGCAAAAGGGTGCAAAAGGGTGCAAAAGGGTGCAAAAGGGTGCAAAAGGGTGCAAAAGGGTGCAAAAGGGTGCAAAAGGGTGCAAAAGGGTGCAAAAGGG